TTTTTATTTTAAGTTATTAATTATATTAAGTTGATATATATCCACATAGAAAATAAAAACTATTGCTTTTCATTTAACTTGTAATTAGAGATCCTGTTTTCTATTTAATTGGTTAGGGAAAACTAGATGAACTATATTAGTGCCTTCACTATTACAAAGAAAAAATTACTAATGTAAGGAAACAACTCCCTTGCCTTTAAAGGAATCAAGAGATGGGACAAAATAATTGTGTTCTGTCTTAATTGTTTTGTATTCTGTTCTCTTCCCCTCAGGCCTGCCATGATGCCTGTGCTCCATTCTGTGTGTATCAAATTCTCAAGCTTGGTAGAACGTCCTTTTTGTTCAGCCTTTGACATAGGTCCCACTTTTTTGCCTAGTAGATACCTTTGTCTTGGCTTTAGGTCCAAGGTTTTACAAGCCACAGGAGATTACCCAAACTTATATTTCTTCTCATTTAACAGTAGGCAATCCATGGGCATTCATAAGCATTTTTGAGGATTGACAGTCTGTCCAGGAAGATATTCCATTTCTCCTTTTTTTGAGTTAAAATTTGCCATCATGATCAGCAAATCACGTGATTGGGTGGTAGGTGGGAGAGTCAGGATATGCAGCATATGTGTGTTGGAGAATGTGTGTTCAGAATCACCAGCAGGAATGCTTGTTTATACTCCAGATACGTTCAAGTTCTTTTCTCCGTAGCATACTCGAGATGAGCCATTCTTCCACTATGAAACAACTGTTTCTAAAAGGAACTTCTGCATCCTCCATGCATGCCAGGGTGGGAAGAAAGTTGAGAAGCAATGATCTAGGACATGTTATTGTACTTGAGGAAATCAGATGTTTCTAAATTTCATTTATATGCTCAATGCCACTAATGTACTTTTTATTTATGAGTAACTTTACAAATGTTTACTTCAAGATGCTTAGTAGTTCTCATTTTAAATGTTTGGTAGTTTTGAAATAAGGAAATAGTTAATGGACAGAGCAACTTAATTTTCACAGGCTTTCTCTTTTTGGCGACAGATGCATGGCATACTTTCATGAAAATGAAGAACATTATCACTTTTGCAAATGCCATCAATCTTTAACAATCAAAAATTCCCTTGGCAGGAGAAGTGGTGTAGCTATACAGAATTGTGGTTATTGTTACATTGCATTATTTACTGTAAACCTGGTTCAATATTGATAAATATAGTGTAGCAGAAACTGAACTGTTGTGAGCTATCTGGGCATCAGTCCAAGATATCATTAAAAATACTGCCTCAGACTAATTTGTGTTTGTGAGTAACATTTTAACAGCTCAACTGAAATTGAGCCACATGGTGTAGTTTAAAACTTCTGAATCCACAAGAAAATGATTACTGTATACGTGTATATGACACAATAATATTTGAGTGGTAAATTTATATGTAATTTTGTGTTAACCTTTAAACCCTAAGCCCCCATATGATTAATGTGTTAACTTTGAAGGTTGCATAATTCTTTGATTAGCTATAAATTTAAATGCCTTATAAACTAAAATATTAATTGGTCTAATAACCAAAACTTAAAGAATAAGCAGAAGGTGCTAAACAGATGTCAAAATTGATACTCAATGTAAGTTTTGACTTGGTTCTCTAAATAGGTAAGCTTTACATTATTATTCACCAAAAAGACTGAAGAGCATAAAGTCATCAGGAAAGTCCAAAAAGTTAATTCACCTATTTTAATAATAAAAGACAATTTTACCTTAATATTTATTTTGGATTTTAAGTTATTAATTATATTAAGTATAACAAAAGGAGTGTTTGGATAAATGAGAAGATTCAAGAGATCAATGCATACTTAGTTTTTTCTTTCCTAAAAGGATATTTATCTTTTTCTTCTTGTGCTATTTTAAGATAGATACATAAATTTTCCATTGAAAGAACATGAGAAAGATTTATTTTCTGCTGCTATTAGTGTATAAGATCTTTGTATAGAAAGGTGTATAAAATGAATTTTAAATGCTTGTCTTCTCAATGAATTTTTTATTTGTTTTTCAGGTTAGCACTCTATGTATATGAATATCTGCTCCATGTAGGAGCTCAGAAATCAGCCCAAACATTTTTATCAGAGGTATGTTTTGCATATTTTCTGTATTACATTTTGATATATAAATAAATTGAAAATATTGTAACAGTTATTTGAAAACATTGTTAATATAGTAAACGCTGTCAGTATACATACTATATAGTCTTTGTAGATTTTATGTAAGCATTTTTACTATTACAAGATGCCCTTTCTGTGCACCGAACCATTCTAATCAGCTTTCTAGAAACTTGATTAGAATGCCCTTAGAAAGTTATCTCAGCATGGCACCAGTAATAAAGGAAAGCAAATTTGCTTTGGAAGCTTTCAGTAGGGCTGACAAGATATCTCAGTTGGTTTGGTCTCCATAACACACACACACACACACACACACACACACACACACACACACA